TATATATATATATATATATATATATATATATATATATTCATCAAATTTGAAATTTGGCCCCTTATTTTTTTAATATAAAAAAAATCAAAAGTTAAAATCCATGAAATTCGAAATTTTGCCCCTATTTCAGGATGCATCTATTTTGAAGTGATATTTAATTGTGGTAATCATTAAACATTCTAAATAATAAAAGCATGGATAAAGAATATCCCTAGTATTAAAAGAAAATCGCAAGGCAAAAAAAATAAAAATGGCTAGACAAAATTCAATTTTAGAACCTTTTTTTGAGAAAGTTACAATTAAATTTATACCTTAGAATATAATACGTACGTCACGATTATCATTTTAGGGTATATTACATAAATTCTATAGTTTTAATATGAAATTACAATTTATCACTAATAAATTTCTAATTACTAATTTCTTAAAAATTAAAAAAAAACGAATACAATAATTGAAGCTCGGATATATTAAATATTATCTCAGATACATTAACATGTAGTTCGGATACATTAAAGATCAGCTTGAATACATAATATGTAACTTAGATACATTAAATACTGACACAAATATATTAAGAATAGCTAAAATACATAATATGTAGTTTGAATACATTACATACTAGCTCGAATACGTTACAGAAATAAATCTGTTTGAAGATTTTTAAAAGCGATAGGAGATAATGAAAATAATTGAAATAAAAAATGATATATAACTAGTGCCTTGGGGCTTGAGCCATAAATTGGAGTTTATATTTGAGTTATTCAGTTCCAAAACTCAACTTTAATTTTGTCTTTCTAACTCATTTTGTTTCAGCCGAAGTGCACTTTTTGGCCTATTCTAATAAAGGAAAATCATATATAATAACAAATTATTAATTCAAATTAAATGTTATAAATATAGTTTGATTTAATTATATTTTATAATAAACTATTGCTATTTTACCTTTTTCCAGATGAATCTCGCTCGCCACTTTCTTGCTTTTCTTTGTCTCTCTCGCTTTTTATGTTGTCCGTCGCTTGTTAAAAAATATAATTAAAAAATTTAAATTAATAAAAAGCAACGGATGGTATGACTTTTCTTAAATTAATAAATAATTGGTTTAATAGAAAGCGATGGACTGCATCGCTATCTATATAAAATAATTAATTATCCATTATATATATTTGGCGCAAAAATCCGTGAAAAGAAGCGATGGACTAAGTAATGTCGTCGATCACTTTTTGAATTTCTTTTTTAAAAAGTTATTTTTTAAAAAAATTGTTTTTATTAAAAAGCAACGGACATTATGATTAATTGCATCGCGTTTTGGAGCGACGTCATCCGTCGCTTTTTCTTTCATCGTTATTAGTTGTGTTTTAGTAGTCGAGATTTACCGAAAAAAATAAAATTATATAAAAAATTATTGAAATTGTTGGATATAAGGTTACTATATTTATTTGAGAATTTTTTGCGTTAATTTTATATTTCTTTTCTTCATATTTTTCTTATTATTTATTAATCAATTACTCATTTTTTAGATTTACCAAAAAAAATAAAAATTAGACAAAATTGTTAAAACGGATCAGATAGTTTATTTAAAAGGAGTTGATTAATGGGTCAGATTAGATGTTTATGGTTCTGAATCCCTTTTCATTTTCATATAAATGTCATGTGGTAATTTCAAAATGACATGACAATTGCATGTAACATTTAAAGAAATTAAAAATGAGTTGTATATGTCCAGCATACCAACTAATGCCCATAAGGGCATATTTGGGCCAAAGTTGGACGGCAAGGGCATGAGTGAGTTAAACTTTAAACAGAGAGTATATCTAGACTTTTTTCGAATAGTTTAGATACATATTTGATTCTTTTCCCTATTGACTAAAAATACAACTTAAAAAATTTAAATTACATATCCAAATATCAACTTTTAACTTTAAATCTATCTGATTTCAAATCAAATTCAAATGAGACCTTAATAGTGTTGTGGAATGTAAGAGGAGACTTGTTGAAGTCTTCTCGACTTAATTAATACATACAATTTAAGAGGAAAAAGAACTCTTTAAAATCATTAAGTCTTTGAGTCAAACAACTAATAGTGAAGCATTCAAACAAGTGATTATTAATTAGTTGATATTATATTTATTTAAAATTCAATAAGATTATCTAATTAATCTTGTTTATGAAAGAGATTATAATAACATTGTAGAAAAAAAAACATGTAAATCCATGGCCCGTGTTTCGAGACTTATACCTCACCTCATATTGTATTAAATGCTTCGCTTCACGCTCGCACCTTTAAATACACAACATTTTTTGTTTATATCTTTTTGAGAAAAGTCCTCTTTTATAACAAGACAACTCTATCAACGTGAGCATGCATGACCAAAACAGGAACAATTGATAAAGTTGTAGAGAAGACTTGTTGACTTAATTAATATATACACAAGTTCAAAGAAAAATAAATATCTATATGCATTTTCTTAATATTGACAATATGTATCTCGAAAAATATGTATTTGAACATATCTAAATGTATCTGAATGTACCAAAATCTGATAGAAATCGTAATATTACAAATTAAAATATATCCAATTAATTAATTTCTAAATTAGTGAAATTTGTGTAAGTTTTTAAAAAATTATTACATATAAAATAAAGATATAGGAAGTAATAACTAGTCAAATTACAAAAAAAAATTCCATTCTAACAAGTCAATAGTGTGTGAAAGAAATAGACTTAACGGATCCGTTTCCTTCATCCTTGGAAAATTGCACAAAACTGCAAAAAAAAATTGATTTAGCTGAGAATGAGTTTATTGGATATTGAAATTCTGACCCCCCAAATTCGCTTTAGGAACATGTTTATTCTATATGTTTCTTTGCAGAATTACAGTAATTACATTTTGTGACATGAAAGACTTGAAATCTGTTGATCTTTCAGAAAATCAACTTTATGATCAAATCCCACAAAGCTTTTCGAGTTTGAGATATATCATTAAGGATATTGCTATCATCAAAAGTTAGTTTGTATATTCTCATGTTACCAATCATGTTGTTTCATTTTGTATTCAAATGAATGTTTCTTTAAGATATTCAAACAATGTTGTTTCTTTCATATGTTTCAAATTTCTTTTTTCAATCACAGAGTTGTGAGACTCTTTATTTATAATTTTTTTAATAAGTACTGTAAGTTACAATAATTAATAATTTAAAATATTTTAAAAAAATATATAAAAAAATATATGGTCAAAGATCAATTCATTTGAATTCTGTTATATAAATTGAGACATAATGAAAAAGAGTACAACAATACTCGAATTTTCAAATGCCAAAGAGTCAATGATCCAATACAAACAAAAAAATGAAACAAAAGAAAACTTATAAATAAGCAAATAAAATTAACAAAAAAAAATAGACTTTTTTCTAATGGAACCCTCCAAAAATAAATGGCTTCTCATTAACAACCCTACATGATTTCCTCACTTCACCTTGTCCATCAATTAATACTTCAACTCTACCCAATTTGACCATTGCCTCACCAAACTTAGTGTAAAAATCAGGATCACTAACAATATCATCCACAATATTCTTTGTCAATTCATCCAATGCTATTTGTTGATCAATTTGAAGAACCCCATTTCCCCTTTGAATCTCTTGAAAATATGAATTATCTACCAAAGATGGAGTCTTCACATCAAGAGGATAAGTGTTGTCAAAAAATAATGAAATTCTAGGGCATCTTTCCTTTAATTCAGCCAATAGCCATGGGCTCATGCTTGGATCAGGACCACCAGTATTATTGTAGTTGTATATTCTATCTTTGAAGAGTGAGCAACGAGCAATTCCAACGGTGTGGCCACCTAGAATCGAAAATAAACAAGCAGATGACGGTCAATGAAGTGCGATGAAAATTGTCAGATAAGTGATTTATTTCAGTCTGGCTAAGTTTTGAATGGTCAAATTAAAGTTACTCACTACCATGTTGGTTAGTGGTTACGACTTACGAGGGACCATGTACTCATAGGATAGAGTCACCAAACAGAGTTATGGATTTAATAGTACTCAATATATAATTTTGGCTCGAACTTTGTATTTGTATTTAAAAGTTTATTTAATATTTATAGTTAATTTTATCTAAATGGCACTAAGCAAAGAAGATTATGGCTTAAAACTCTAGGTGCACGCAAGCTAGTTGAAGTATCATTGTCATAAAATGAAAAATTAGAATAAGATAAAGGTTGCAAAATAAAAACATGGGAAAATGCACAAGTACCCACTCAATCTATGTCCGAAATTACAGAGACATATATTCTATACTAAGGTCCTATTACCCCCCTAAATTAATTTTATAAGTAATTTTCTACCCCTTTTTAGCGTATGTGACACTAGTTTAAAAAAAAGTCAACCATCGTTGGGCCCACAAGATAGTGCCACGTAGGTCGAAAAAGGATAAAAAATTATTAATAAAATAAGTTCAGGGGGGGTAATAGGACCTTAGTATAGTATAAGTGTGTCTCTGAGATTTCGGGCATAGGTTGAAGGGGTACTTGAACATTATCCCTAAAAACATTAAAAAGGATAGCATCCAAAGGTATGTCCTAATGGGGAATATAATGAGATGTGAACCATAAATCGACCGTTGTTCAAAATTTTACTAAAAGTAAAATAAAATTAAATGTGTTAGATAATTTCTTTGATTGTATATTCACCGTGGCAAGGAATAGTATCTAACGTGATATAATAGTCGAGGTACATATATGCTACTGGACATCGTCCCAATAAAATTAAGGAATGTAAAAATGTGAAATTACCTAGAAGATAAACCATGTCATATTGAGTAAGATTTTTGCTTGCAAAGAGTTTGATGGAATCAGAAACTGAAATTGTTGCAGCAGGAAGATTCACATTTGATGCTAAGGAAACATTTCCATCCCTTCTTCCTGTTTCTACATCATACCATTTTCCTCCACCCTATGACATTTTATAATCAAAACCAACACAAATTAGGATGCATGTATATGTCTCAAATGATATAATGTAAAGGTCTCGTCGTATTATAGTCACACAAATATTATAGCATATTTTTAAGACCACGAGTTTCAGGAATCTTTAGTATTTTCTCACCTCCAAGGCCAATCAAATAAGTGATGAAAAAAATAATTATTCTTTAGTTTGATTGGGCACAAATGTTAAAAAAACTAAGTGAGACATTTGAATCTTGTCATAGATCTTAGATTAATGATGTGTCTAGTCCATTTAAATTTTATAATATTAAACTTGTCATATAAAATATCGAAACTGAAAAACTTACTAGATATAAAAAGAAACACTCTTTTTTGAGACAGATTAAAAATGCTACATTGAAGAAACAGAGAAAATTACTAATAAATCCCGCCCATGTTTTAAATGTATTTTTTACCCGATCCATTTCAAATCTAGTCAAAGGTCTTCGAGCCTTGTTGAGAACTATATTTTCAAAAAATAAAATGACATGTATCCCTTCTCAACCTAGGTCAAAGGTCTTCTCATTTTTTTGTTGGAAACAAAATTAAGTTCGTTACGATTAGCAATTCAGCCTCACATTGTATGGTAGTAACATCAAAAATCTCAAATGATATATGAAAGTAATAATGATGAAATAAAATGTAAATTTACCAAGACAACAGCATCTCTAGTTGCCATAGAAATAATATCAGCACAAGAAACTAGGCCTTGACATTTTGCTTCTAAAGCTTCTTTAATAGCATCAATGAGTTCATATCCCCTAACACTTGAATTTGGGACTGCTGTTTTCTCACTGATGAATCCATCCAATAGAATTGATGCATCACAACCCTATGTACATATAGCAAAAATATTATTAAATGACAAATAGAAAATTGTACCACAAATATTCCATAAGGAGCATTCTTTTTTTCATAATACCAAAATTTTATGGAATTGGGTCATGAGCAAAACAAGAAAAGTCAAAAGGAAATTAACATAAAAAAAATTATTTTACCCTTTATGACATAACTTAATAGGCACAAAAAAAAAAAGATTTCATGTTCAACAGTACAAATAAAGGTAGATTCTTGATTTAATTAGCTACAATGATGTTTGCATTTAAAAAGATAGATTTAATCACGGATAAATTTTTATAGCTAAACAACAAAATTTATCGTTACTTTTGTGCAACGATCGATTTATGTTAGCTACAAGTGAATTAGTGACGAAGTTTGCAGCTAAACCCAATTTTCATAATAGAAAGCTCTTTTTCTCATCTTCTCTTATGGAGTAATTGTTTCTACTAAATATAGATAAACAAATCTAAACATTTCATACACTAAATTGTGGACAAACTAATGTTAAAAAATAGACGAAAGTTTCACAGGACTAAAAGTATATCAATATTACAAACATGAGGGACAATTAATGTTTCATATGAAAAAATAAGAATAATTTTAAGTCTTAACCAAAGGATAAACATCTATTTTGAGCCTTTTCTCCACAAAAATATTATTATATGTTTAAAACCACGTATTCCAATATTCTCTCCTTTATTAAAACTTGTATGTCAATTCAAATAGCTTCATCACATAAAATGACACGAAAAGAGTAGTGAGTATAGTGATTCGCCTGTATATTTGTGATTAAAAAATTCTGTATCCATCACTGCTATATATATATATAAGTTTCGTACCTTAACAAAACAATCATGAAATTGCATACGTAGAAGAGCAGCTGGAATATCCTTTTCCTTCTTTTCAATATGCCATGTATTTACAACATTTTGGACAACACCTTCAACATTTGTCAACCCACATTTTCCTTCATAAAATCCAACTCTAAGTTCCCCATAGCATATTTCACAAAATAACATAAAAAATAACACCACCACAAGAGCCAATGCTTTAGACATTTTAATTTGACAAAAATAGAATGTGGTTGATAGACACTTTTTTTTAAGCCAATTTATAGTATTTTGCTAAGGTTATTAATTAAGATAATAATGAAGTGTGTGACATGTAAAATGTGTATGTATGCTTTGCACGACCATTTCTTAGAGATTGTGACAATAACGTGCCATCAAGTTGTTGAAGTATATTTATATTATACTAAAGTCAAAGCATATGGCTTAAAAATGGTGTTACTTAATAGTATCAAAGATTTATAGAGGGCCAAAATTTTCTATAATTGGTATAAAATATGAAAAAGTAAAACACGATGTTCAAAGAGTTTTTGTAACATCTATCATATTACGTAAAATATAATTCTAATCATGTATACACATGTTAATTTTCTACCTAAGGGTGTTTTTGGATCGATGAACCCCCTCAACTATACTTGGAAAACAATATATAATTATTTTATACTTCTTTAATTCAATTTTTTGTCTTATTTTTCTTTTTTTTCCAACTAAAATTAGTTACTAAGATCTATTATCAATATTGCAATATAAAATAAATAATAACAATGTTAATAATAATTTAGTTATTCTTTAATTAATAGAACATTATATTCTCATATAAGAACAATCTCTTCATGCGAGCATGCATTTTCGGATGAGATGGTCGAGAAGATGAATGGTTTGTGGTAGGGGTGTATAAAATCGAATCGAAAATCGAACCAAATCGCAAGTCGAGTCAAACGAAAAAAAAACCGACTAGTGGTTTGGTTTGACTTGATTTGCTGTTGGAACCCCCCCCCCCCCCACTATATCTGGGTTGGTTTTGTTTCAAGTAAAAAAAATCAATTCGAGACTAAACCAACTCGACATTATATATATAATTTTAAAAGTTTATTTTATACGTAAAAATACTTACTTTGATATAATATTTAAATATTTCTTAAAAAAAATTCATAGTTTTTGTCTTTTAATATGTATTTATTTCATGTTTGGAAGTTAGAATTCTTAATGATCTGATAAATATTATAGTCCATACATGTTGGTAATTATAATAAAATTGAAATAAAAATCAAATACTTATGCAAAAAGAAAATCAATTCAACACTAAAAATGACAATAATATTGAATTTTTTTTTAGTTTTACATAGATTTAGACAATTAAAATACATAATCTAATTTTACTTTCTTTTAATATTTAATCATGTAACTAATACTTATTAACTTATTTTAGCATGATTTCAAATTATGATCAATTTCATTATATTAATTTGCAATATTTGTTTTACGCGATTATATTATTATTTTTTTGGTTGGATATTTTAGTGTCATTAATCATATCATACTTTTTTTTGTTATTTTCTTGAGAAATAACTTAGATAGTTGCATTTGATAGAACTAAAGAAATATTTGAAGTACAAGTAAATTATATGTTTAAATGAATACTTTATCGAAAAAACTCGAAATTGAAAAACTCGAGTTTTATTGTTTTGTTTGGTATATGACATCAAAGATCCATCACAAATAGTTTGATTTGATATTTGAAAAATTCAAACCAACCCGATCATGTACACTCCTACTTTGTGAAGTTGGGTAGATAAAATTATAGTTGAAGTCATAATTAATTGTCTTCTTTATATATAAAAAATTTTGAGATGAATTTAAATTTTATGATATATTTTGGCTCAAAACAACATTTGAATTGTTTTGCCAAAAGAATTTTCCATTGACAAATTTTATGATGAAATAAATTTTGCCACCCAAAAAATTACTTGCAATATCTTTAGTCAAACGGATCTTTATAGCCATTCTAGAAATTAATTTATCTTGGAATGTAGACTTTAACTTCTCATTACATATCTCTAGGTGTGTTTGGTATGGTTCATTCATTTTCATGTCCGGTTCGATAAAATGTTAAAGAAAAATATTTTTAAAACATAAAAAATTTATAAGTGATATTTCAAGCGTATTATTTCTTTTTTTACTGCCAACATACCTCCAAGACCACCCCATAACCACTCCCTACCTTACCTCCATAGATTTCTCTAAATTACATAAATGAACTTGTGACAAAAAAGAAATAATTGACCGTGCTTATCAAACACAAGAAAATAAGTTTAAAAATCACTTTTTTTTAAAAAAAATATTCATAACAAAAACACCCTTAGTATATTATCTTATTCTTGTTAGTTATTTTTACCTTTTGTTCGTCTTTTGTCCAGCCAAAAAATAAAATGAGAGGGAAGAAAAATGGCATGATGATAGAAAAGTATATTAAGAAGTAGAGAAAAATGACATTCTCCTTTTATTTCATATCATTGATCTGAAAAATAATTTTAAGAATCAATCAAATTACAACATAATACATGAAAATAAAAGAAAAAAAATTCATAAAAAACAATATACTCAAATTTCAATTGCCAAAGAATCAAGAAAGGAAGAGTCTCCTTTACTCACCCCTTCCCACACCAACTCAAGACCAAAAAAAAAAAATAATCAAAATATAATAAAATAAGTAAATAAACTATCAATAATTTATGTTGTCCAGACTCTTCAAAACAACTGCTAGACACGCATGTCGCATCCTCCAAATAATTTGCACGGACAATATTTCTGAAGGATCTGAACAAAAGTCACTTGTGCTAATTGAACAACCCAAAAAAGAATGACTTCTTATTCACAACCCTACATGATGTCCTCACTTCTCCTTGTCCATCAATTAGTACTTCAACTCTACCCAATTTCACCATGGCTTCTCCAAAATTAGTGAAAAAATTAGGGTCTTTGACAATATCACCTACAATTTTCTTTGTCAACCCATCCAATGCTAGTTGTTGATCAATTTTAAGAACCCCATTACCCTTTTGAATTTCTCCAAAAAATGAGTTATCAACAAATGATGGAGTCTTCATATCAAGAGGAACATTGTTATCAAAGGATGAAACTCTAGGACACTTTTTTATTAACTCAGAAAATAGCCAATTGCTCATGGTTGGATCACGAACACCTGTATTATTGAAGTTGTATATCCTATCTTGGATGAGTGAGCAACGAGTGTTGCCAACAGTGTGTCCACCTAGAAATATTGAAAATGCACACACATTAATTCAATGAAAATAAAGAAGATGTAACCGTCAATAAAATGAGTTGAAAATCATCAGATATCAAAGTTTAATTTTCACTATACTTATACCTGAGTCTTGATGGTTAAAGTTATACAGTGACCATATCGGTTTATGAGGTAGCATGTACTAGTAGGATAGAGTCACCAATTTTAGAGATATAAATTTACAATTTTGGTAGAGCCAATTACTTGTTTTGGCTTGAGTCTTGAATTTGTGTTTAAATGAAAAATAATTTAATATGTATAAATAATCTATCCAAAATGTAAAAGAGATTCTTGTTAAATGAGGTGTAAACCATATAGATAATTAATGTTCAAATATATTAGTAAAAGTTTTAAGAAAATATGTTAGGTGATTTCTTTTAATCTGTTTAAAATTCATTAAATAAAGTCAATTGATATTTCCTAAAGGAAGCTTCACGGCTTTATTCGTATCGTAATAATCTGTGTATGATAAAATAATTGAGATGTTCATAAATTACTGAATATTATTGCAATAAAAGAATAACGTATAGAATAAAAAGAGAATTCTGAACCAAAAGGGCCACTTTTTCTTATGCACAAAGGATCACTTTTTTTTTTCATATATCACTAGACTTTGAGCGATTTATCGTTAATTTAAACTCGAATTCAAAAAGGGAAAATTACCTAGAAGATAAACCATGTCTATTGGAGAAATTTTTTTCTTGCCAAAGACTTTGATGGAATCAGAGACTGAAATAGATGGAGAAGGAAGATCCACATTTGATGCTAAGGAAACTTTACCATCCCTTCTTCCTGTTTCTACATTGTACCATTTTCCTCCACTCTGTCACATTTTTTTTAATAATACAAATTAGGATGCATATCATAAAAAATAAAATATAATTTAAACTTTTCTTTTTACCCTCAATAACAAGTTTTTACCGTTACAAAAATGTTATGACATGTTTAACACAATTTTCGAAAGCATTATATTCATACAAATGTCAAGTTATGCTTATACAGTCTGAAATTAATCGTCACAAGAAATCTTCACTCAAGAAATTATTTTCAACTGTAATCTAGAATTACTAAATAAGTGTGACTTATAATTATTATTATATATATTAATGAACATGAAAGGAGTTAAAATGTAAAATTTACCAAGACAACAGCATCTCTAGTTGCCAGAGAAATAATGTCAGCACAAGAGACAAGGCCTTTGCATCTTGCCTCTAAAGCTTCTTTAATAGCATCAATGAGTTTATAACCCCTAACACTTGAATTTGGGCCTGCTTTTTTCTCACTATTATTTCCATCCAATAGAATTGATGCATCACAACCCTATTCATCATGTACATAATAAAATTATTAGTACATGATTCAATAGAAAATTGAAAAAAAAATGAGAAAGAAGATTATAAAGTGAAGAATCGAATCGTTACTAATAATGTAAAAATTCAGGTATCAAATAAACAAAGCAACAAGGTGGGCATTCTTTTTTTAGTTTCTTACATAGGGCAAGCATGCTTGGTTGAGCATATATATAAGATTTGTAATATATATGTCAAAATACATTGCCACAATGAAATATTTGTAGATCTACATACACAACGCTCCTATATATTATTCATCATGAAATAGTAAAATTATTAGTTCATTCAAATCCTTCTTTTATTAAGCTTTACGTGTCAAATTAAATAACTTCATATAAAAATGGAGCCAGAATTTTTAACAAGTTCTTTTATTAAGCTTCATGAGTTAAAACAAACAACTTCACACAGTAATAAAATCGAAATTTTCACTAGATGCGTTTGAAAAATCTTTCCTTCTTGTGTTAAGCTTCATGTGTCAAATCAAACGACTTTCACACAAAGTGATATGGAAAAGTAACGAATATAAGTGGTACATTATTTTATCGTGACTACGAATATAAGTGGTAAGCTATTCTATCGTGACTTAAAATCTTGTATCTGACTCTGATAATATCGTAAAGGAGGACTTATAAACAAAATATATTGAAAAAGCAAGAGTTCTATATGTAAGTTTCTTACATTAACAAAGCAATCATGAAATTGCATACGTAGAAGAGCAGCTGCAATATCTTTTTCCCTCTTTGTAAAATGCCATGTTTCAACAACTTTTTTAACAACAACTTCAACATCTGTTATACCACATTTTCCTTTGTAAAATCCAACTCTAAGTTCCCCATAACATTCACCAAAAAATCCCACAAAAAATAACACAACCACAAGTGCCAATGCTTTAGACATTTTTGATTAATTTTTTTGCTATTACTTAAATTAATGTGGATGAAATAAACACATTTTATGATCCTATTTATAGTATTTTGCTAAGTTTATTATGTAAAATAGTTTATGCTTTGCACGACTATTTTAAAGCCTATTGTTATAACGTGCCTTCAAGTTCTTAAAGTAATTAAGCAAAAATGAATAGGTATATTTATATTAATATAATTGAAGTGTGTGATCTCAAATTATTTTATCACTTTCTGAGAATTAAATTGACTAATATTTTTAGAAGTATCGAATTACACCAACTCAATATTTTAAAGTTAAAAGTTTTAGATATTTAAAAGTTATATGAAAAGTATTATAATTAAGTTGTAATTTTATCATGTCAAACGCAGATTCAGAATTTAGATTTTATATATGATACAGTCCAATCTTTAAGGTTTTCAGTAATGAACTAATTATATTGTATTTGTTGTAATTTTAATAAATTATGCTTCGTGTTGAAAGTATCTACTGGGTTTAGGTGAACAATTCACTCCTTCGTTTTGTCGATCTGAAAAAAAAATTGTGAGTCACCTGGGCTACGGATTTTTCCGTTGGTTGATTCTCAAAATTGAAAAACTTACATTTTAAAATATTTATTAAAATTTACATAATAATTTGAATTTAAAAAATAAAATGTTCACATATATAGTTGAAAAGAAGGAATATATATTATAGAAAATATTATATCATTGAAAAAAGAGATCACAATGAAGATACATATAAAGATGCACTTTCCATGTCAACTACTAGGGAAAAAAATATGTAACTTTATACTAATTTTAATTAAGATTCAATCATTTGTTTTCCAAATCTTTGATTTGATTTGTTTCATTATTCCACAAATTGAATTGTGACATAGTCTTATTCTTGAAGCATTTGATGTTTAACAAATGAAATGTGAATCTTGTATGTGTATAAATTAGTAATATAATTAATTAAAATGTGATTAACTAATGTTTAGTTATAATTGGGATTACATGTGTTTTGAGTTGAATGTTACAAAATTGGTTACTTGTGTGCATGTCCCAATCCTGGTAGGAAAATGCTAGTGATATTAAGTTGATTAAACATTTAATTTTATTGACTAAGTAAATTATGAAATTGATCATTGTGAAATGTGTATCAACTGAAAATTAAACAATATACTTGATAATTGTACAAGAGATTTTCCTTGAAATTGTAAAAGATTTTAATTAAAAAAAATTTGTGTAACTATCTTTGGTAAAAAGACCATAGGGTTGCCTAGTAATTCGAATTTAAGGCTCATTTATTGTGCTGCAAGAGTTGTAATTTGAGTTTGAGGTTCATTCATTTTTAGTAAAAATTGAAATTAAATTTTAGTGACATGTAGTGATTTTTACATATTTGAGTCAATAGTTTTTCTAATAAAAATATATGTTTTTTATATTAAGCTCTCTCTCTTCTGTGTCAGCGAAGGAAGGGGAAGGATAAGAGCAATCAGCCGAATGATTGTTATTTCACTTACGGTTACAGTGCCTCTATCGAAGCAGAACAAGTCTAATACTCCAGCTCCGATTTTCGAAAATTTCATTTCGATCTAAAGCCCGGGCTGAGATTACGCATTGAATTTCTGGTAGTAAATCCATAATCAAAAAAGTGTTTACTCCATAGTCTGATAGATTTTTTGAAGAACTGATTAATCGTACGGCTTTTTTTGCGGCAAGAGCGGTGTTGTAGCATCAACAGGAAAGTTATTTGGCAGTTGCTTTAGCAGCTCCTTCTCTAAGACCGTCTTCAATAGCAACGCTTATTCCAACAAACTTTCAATTATCTTAGAAATGCATATAAAAATCGAGTTCGTGTAAATGAAAGTTGTTTTTTTACTGTGTTTGGAAGGATTTTATTTATTCAATATTAGGTTCATCCATAGAAAAAGGAACAAATCTAAACTATATAGTTCCATTCGCATCTCCTTCAAAAGCTTTTAGCTTAAAGAAAGGAGATGTTTCAAAAACAAACAACTTGTTCATAGGCAAATTTGAATTCATAGTCTTCCTTTCATATTCCGCTAATATGTCTCTTACTGAGTTAGCCTCCCTCATTATATGCTTTTGTTGTTCGAAATTTTGTAAGATCTAATTCATTTCCCTCCCCTCTCCTTTTGAATTATATGCACTTAAACTAATAATGATTTTAGATTAAGTATTCAATAATTAAGATAAACATCTTGAGAGATTTTTCTTAAAATTATGTGTATTATGATTTATCGAGTGTTTTGTACAAAACTTTTGCTTAGTTAGAGCATCACTCACAACTTGATAACAACAATCCTACGAATAGCATTGACCCGAGTTAAAATATCATTTTTTTTATATACTTGGTATTAAAATTTGATTATTTTATATTCGCATCGAAATGATGTAATTTAAGAAAAAACGACTTCATTCCTCAAAGCAACAAAGGCCATTTGGCAAATTTTATTAGGGGTATGAATGGTATGAGTCCGGAACCTAAAGGATACAAATTATTAACAAAAATTCCAAAAAGGTATATAAAATTTTATATTAATCAAAACAGCAAAATCGCTGGAACAACAGCGATTTACTCCATAGGAAAAAGCAAAATCGCTGCCACTGCAGTGATTTTGCAAAATGTGATTTTTTTTTAAAAAAAAAAAATTTAAATCGCTGCTTAGGCAACGATTTATAAATAAAAAATATTTAAAGAAGCAATTTTATATAAAAAAAATTATAATATTTTTTTGAAATTCAAATATATAGCTTATAAGAAAATATGCATCATTTAAAAAAATTAAGAATAAGTAAGGTAACAAAAATATTTTCTTTCTAAAAAAAGATATTGTATTGAATTT